CCATAGTACTCTGAACAATAGTACTCTGAACCATAGTACTCTGAACCATAGTACTCTGAACAATAGTACTCTGAACAATAGTACTCTGAACAATAGTACTCTGAACAATAGTACTCTGAACAATAGTACTCTGAACAATAGTACTCTGAACAATAGTACTCTGAACAATAGTACTCTGAACAATAGTACTCTGAACAATAGTACTCTGAACAATAGTACTCTGAACAATAGTACTCTGAACAATAGTACTCTGAACAATAGTACAGAGTAGAGTTGATGAAAACAGAGGAAGATCTTTTTACTGACTGATCTTTTCATGAACACACTGATGTGTGTGTGTGTGTGTGTGTGAGTTCTTCATTTATCGTCCGTTTCTCTCCTTTGTTTTCGTCAGATTGGTAAAGACCGGAGTCTGACCTACGACCCCTGCTGTGTCAGTTACTTTTCCAAGGGTGAATATATAGTGATGGGGGGGTCGGACAGACAGGCGTCCCTCTACACCAAGGATGGCGTGCGCCTCGCTACCATCGGAGAGCAGAACGCCTGGGTGTGGACGTGTCAGGTCAAACCTGACTCCAACTTTGTGGTGGGTTCAACCAGAGTCAGTCTGTAGTTTGATTCCACACTGACACCTGTAACTTTAGAGTTCTTCATCCTGATCTGAGAAGGTGGAGAATCAGCGGTCGGCAGGTTCTCTCACTGCTGCTGATGCTGATGATGCTACTGTTACTGCTGCTGTTGCTCTAGCAGCAGCAGCAGTAACAGCAGCGGCAGTAACAGCAGCATCAGCAGCAGCATCAGCAGCAGTAACATCAGCATCAGCAGCAGCATCAGCATCAGCATCATCAGCAGTAGTAACATCAGCATCAGCAGCAGCATCAGCAGCAGCATCAGCATCAGCATCAGCATCAGCATCAGCATCAGCATCAGCATCATCAGCAGTAGTAACATCAGCATCAGCAGCAGCATCAGCATCAGCAGTAACAGCAGCAGCAGTAACAGCAGCAGTAACATCATCATCAGAAGCATCAGCAGCAGCAGCATCAGCAGCAGTAACAGCAGCAGCAACAGTCATTTCTCACTCCCAGTCTTTTCTTAGACGTGCTAACAGATGTGCTAACAGACGTGCTAACAGACGTGCTAACAGACGTGCTAACAGGATGTCCTGATGTCCTGATGTCTCCTGCAGGTGCTGGGCTGCCAGGACGGGACCATCGCCTGCTACCAGCTGATCTTCAGCACAGTCCACGGTCTGTACAAGGACCGCTACGCCTACAGAGACAGCATGACCGACGTCATCGTCCAACATCTCATCACTGAACAGAAAGGTACGGTTTTCTGACCAACGGGAAACTTCACACCTGAGTCACCACGACGATCTTCAGTCTCTTCAGTTTGTCTTTTCACCAGTGGGTTAGAGTTAGAAGGTTTGGACCAAAGTGTTTCTGTTCAACTAAAACAGGCTCAGAATCAGGAGTCCTGCAGAACCAGACCGGTCCAGACCGGTCCAGATCAGTCCAGATCAGTCCAGATCAGGAAGATGTGTTAGTTCCCTTTGTTTCAAACCTGCAGTGATTCTGGAGAAGATTCTGGAGAAGATTCTGGAGAAGATTCTGGACCGTATGGTTGACATAAAACCTGGAGATTGTCTTCCAGTTAGATTGATTCATTTGAACCTGGTTTCATGATTAATTCATCAGATTAATCAGATTAATTCAGATGAATCATCAGATGTTTAGCAGTAAAAAGACTGGGCTCTGTCTGCTCAGGTTTGGTCAGAGGAGTTGAGCCCACAGCCTACTGTTTGACCCCCACCTACTCTTTTATCTCCCTCCACCCAAGTGAGGATCAAATGTCGAGAACTGGTCAAGAAGATCGCCATCTACAGGAACCGTCTGGCCATCCAGCTGCCTGAGAAGATCCTCATCTACGAGCTCTACTCCGACGACTCCTCAGACATGCACTATCGGATCAAGGAGAAGATCTGCAGGAAGTTTGAATGCAACCTGCTGGTGGTCTGCTCCCTGCACCTCATCCTGTGTCAGGTACGACACCAGGGGGCAGCAGAGTTGACCTAAAGTACACTCTGCTGAGCATTAGTGTCAGAGATGACTAAGGATTTATATGTCTGTGTGTGTGTGGGGGGGGGGGGGGGGGTGGGGGGGGGCGGTTCTTTTCTGTTTCCTCTTCACACTCCTCAGTGTGATTGGACCTCCCTCACATGAGTCACATGACCTGATGAAGTGGAGCAGACAGTCAGTCTTCATACAACAGACTGCACAAGAGTCTAAAGACGGTTTGGAGGTTTATTACCCCGACGGAGGCAGAATGAGTCAGTGGTGAAGTTTTCACTGCTGCCCCAGAGAAACCACACAGTGAACTAACACTGTCCTAACAGTGTCCTAACACTGTTAGGACACTGTCCTAACAGTGTTAGGACACTGTCAGGACACTGTTAGGATAGTGTTAGGACAGTGTTAGGACAGTGTCCTAACACTGTCCTAACAGTTAGGACACTGTCCTAACACTGTTAGGACACTGTCCTAACAGTGTTAGGACCGTGTCCTAACTGTTAGGACAGTGTTAGGACACTGTTAGGACACTGTTAGGACAATGTTAGGACAGTGTTAGGACAGTGTCCTAACAGTGTCCTAACAGCATCAGGACACTGTCCTAATGCTGTCCTAACACTGTCCTAACACTGTTAGGACACTGTCCTAACAGTGTCAGGACAGTGTTAGGACAGTGTTAGGACGGTGTTAGGACAGTGTCCTAACACTGTCCTAACACTGTTAGGACACTGTCCTAACAGTGTTAGGACAGTGTCCTAACTGTTAGGACAGTGTTAGGACACTGTCCTGACACTGTCCTAACACTGTCCTAACATTGTCCTAACAGTGTCCTAACAGTGTCCTGACAGTGTCCTAACACTGTTAGGACACTGTTAGGACACTGTCCTAATGCTGTCCTAACACTGTCCTAACACTGTCCTAACACTGTCCTAACAGTGTCCTGACAGTGTTAGGACAATGTTAGGACACTGTCCTAACATTGTCCTAACAGTGTCCTGACAGTGTTGGAAATGGGAGAAAGTGAAACGGGTGACTTGTCCAAGTAGGTGGAAGGAGCATTTTAGTTTTGCTTAAAAATGTCCAACAGAACAAACAAAAACAAAGAGGACTCTGAACTTCTCTCCACTAAGAAAAAAGAAAAGAAAACACAGGGTTCTGACCTGAAGCCTTAATGAAAAAAAGGAGAAAATGTTTTGAACAAGAACTTCTCACTCCTCCGTTCTGCTGCTTCATACCTGCAGTCAAAGAAGTCTGCCACCTGTTGGTTTAAATATCTGCCCTCCACCAATCACGTGATGGTCACGTGATGGTCACGTGATGGTCACGTGATGGTCACGTGATGGTCACGTGATGGTCAAATCAAACCCACACACACTGACAGACATGTCAGGCACCAGACAGAACCACCACAGCCTGTCTGTGTCAGGTCAAGCTGTGGTTCGTGTCCCCCGTGTCGCTCTCTCTCTCTGACACAGTCTCCTCCTCTTCACCTCCTCGTCTGTGCTGCAGGAGAAGCGTCTCCAGTGTCTGTCCTTCACCAGCGTCAGGGAGAAGGAGTGGGTGATGGAGTCTCTGATCCGCTACATCAAGGTCATCGGTGGGCCGCCAGGAAGAGAGGGTCTGCTGGTGGGCTTGAAGAACGGAGCTGTGAGTGTTGAGTTAACACGTGAACAGACATTAGGGAATTCCTCCTCCTCCTCCAGTCTGTTGTGTTGGTTATTGTGACTGATGTGGTTGTGTTCTCACCTGAAGATCCTGAAGATCTTTGTCGACAACCCGTTTCCCATCACACTGCTGAAGCTGTCGACCTCAGTACGCTGTCTGGACATGAGCGCCTCCCGCAGTAAACTGGCGGTAGTGGACGAGCACAACACTCTGTTGGTCTACGACATCAACAGTAAAGAGCTGCTGTTCCAGGTCGGTGGACAAAACTGTGGCCACCGGTGGTTTTCATGTACACTGGGGCCTCCAGATACCACTGTGTGGCGCTGTCTCCCTCTCTGGTTATTTTACCCATTTTTATAACAATAATATAAAATGTTTTCCTAATTATTATTATTTCATATTATCAATATATTTGTTTATATCTATATTTTTGATGTTTAGATGGGGGAGATTTTAATTTAATTTATTAATAGTACATTTCTGGGGGCTGGAACTAATTACTTGTTTGTTTGTTTTTTTGTTATTTTTAATGTTAAAAATGGAATCAAGATACAAGCGGATTGATATACGAGTGGGTACCACAGTACTGTGTACACACAGGTACTTTACTCATGTACTACTGCAGGGTTCACACCCCCTCCTCCTCCTCCTCCTCCTCCTCCTCCTCCTCCTCCTCGTCTGTGCAGGAGCCTAATGCTAACAGCGTAGCCTGGAACACACAGTGCGAGGACATGCTGTGCTTCTCTGGTAACGGTTACCTCAACATCAAGGCCAGCAACTTCCCAGTGCACCAGCAGAAGATGCAGGGCTTCATGGTGGGCTACAACGGCTCCAAGATCTTCTGTCTCTACGTCTACTCCATGTCGGCCGTGGAGGTTCCTCAGGTGAGGGTCCTGTCGTCAGGAGCGGCTCCGTCATCAAGGAGGCGTTGATTCAACAGCTGTGTTGTCGTTGTCAGTCGGCACCGATGTACCAGTACCTGGAGAGGAAGATGTTCAAGGAGGCCTATCAGATCGCCTGCCTTGGAGTGACAGACGGTGACTGGAGGAACCTGGCCACGGAAGCCCTGGAAGGACTGGACTTTGACACAGCAAAGAAGGTCAGTCCTGGACACGGGGTTCTGATCCGCTCCGGGTCTTGAACCCATTCAGTGTCGAGACTCAACTCCATGTGATTCACAATTTATTTTGTTCTCGAGTCTTTTTAACAAAATGAGTCACAACCAGTGTTTTTAGGCACACCGCCACCTACTGTACTAGAGTGTGTAGTGTCATGGTATGACCAGTGACTCCTTACACCTTGATGCGTGATTCATTTTTATTTGAACCGATGAGAACTGTTAGGCATTTGTGTCGATTTGTAACCGATTTGAGGATTCATTCTTGTTTAAACAAAACTGTAAATTTGATCTGAATCAGTAGATTTAAAGGAGGAGATGAGGTCGTTGAAAGGTCGTTCACAGGTCGTTCACAGGTTGTTCACAGGTCGTTCACAGGTCGTTTAAAGGTCCTTCACAGGTTGTTCACAGGTCGTTCACCGGTCGTTCACAGGTCGTTCACAGGTCCTAAAGTAAAACGACCACTGTATTCATTATAAAAATGTCTTTTTAAACATTGTTGTCATGAAAGATAAATGATGGACTGTATCTGAGGACGACTCACTGAACCACAGCAGGTGGGAAATTAACAGAGAAGAAGAAGAAACATTTAGATACATTTTATATATATTTTATATATATATATATTTTCCTCTTCTTTTGGTGCAGACGTCTGTGGTAATGTTGTTTTGACTTTTTCTTCTTCCTTGGTAACAGGCCTTCATTAGAATCAGAGACCTGCGATACCTGGAGCTCATCAACAGCATCGAGGTAAAGACCACACCATGGCAGGAGGATCTTTTTAATCTGGTGTGTTATTGTGGAGTGAACCAGGTGAGTGTCTGTGTTGACTGACCTGCAGGAGAGGAAGAAACGAGGTGAGAGCGACAACGACCTCTTCCTGGCGGACGTCTGTGCCTACCAGGGCAAATTCCACGAGGCGGCCAAACTCTACAAACGCAGCGGCCACGAGTCCCGGGCCTTGAGCATGTACACGGACCTGAGGATGTTTGACTTTGCTAAGGTGACAACAACAGTCAGCATTCACCTGTTCACATATAGAAACTGTAGATGTTCCACAGAAGGAGACTCTGTTTTTGACAAGGTTCTAGATCAGTTTGAATTGATTTGATTCAAATGTTCTGTGTTTGTCCTCCGTGGTCCAGGACCCCGTACTGCTCTGGGACCCTGTGGTCGGGAGCCTCAGCTTTACCAACTTTACAATGTTTGGCTCTGAGAAACTGTTTTCTTTCAACAATCTTTTCTTTCGCAGGAGTTTGTCGGAGCGACGGACCCGAAGAGTTCTCGGATTCTGATGAGTAAGCAGGCGGACTGGGCTAAGAGCAGCAGAGAGCCGCGGGCGGCCGCGGAGATGTACCTGTCAGCTGGAGAACACCTCCAAGCTATAGACATCATCGGAGAGCACGGCTGGGCCGACATGTAGGTTCAACACAGTCACCTGTTTTAAAATGGGTTTTTTATGTCACTACATGAAAATGTTTTTTTTTTAAGATTGTTTTAATGCTTTGATTTCTGTAATGTTTTAAATGATCGATGACTTGAAATGCAGCTAACATTTATCAGACGCAGACGCAGTCATCAGAAGATCCAGCCGTAGGTTCATGACCCCTGATGTAGGAGGTCAGATTATGGGATGTCCAGAGTCTCTCACAGCTTTACTAAAGTACTAATGTAGTACTTCCCGTGTACAGAGTATTCAGTAACAGACAGTTGACTTTCTGTGAGCGTTCACACACTGGTGTCTGTTCTGTCTGTCCAAACTCTACACTGACATCTGGTCCCACTGGTGGGTTGGACCTGCATTAATAGATCCCACATGTGGCCAGAGTCGGCGCTCAGCTGGTCACCCCCCCCTCACCCCCCAGCTGATGCGCGTTGTGTTTTAAACGTCCTTCTCTCCTCACCTCCAGGCTGATTGACATCGCTCGTAAACTGGACAAGGCCGAACGTGAGCCGCTGGGAAAGTGTGCGCTGTATTTCAAGAAGCTGAAGCAGCACGGCTACGCCTCGGAGACCTACTCCAAGATGGGGGACCTGCAAGCCCTGCTGCAGCTGCATGTGGAAACACGGCACTGGGAGGAGGTCTGACACTCACCTGCTCGGCTAATCCTGACCCTGTATAGGAATCATATATCCTAGCATTTCTCACCACAGATGGCGCTGTGTTTAAGAAACAGCTGTGGATTTCAGGAATGTGGAAAATAATAACAATAATAATAATCATAATAATGTGGGTTTGGAAACCAGAAACATCTGACGTAGAAACCACAGTTTCTGTAGACTGAACACTGTAGACTGAACACTGTAGACTGAACACTGTAGACTGAACACTGTAGACTGAACACTGTAGACTGAACACTGTAGACTGAACACTGTAGACTGAACACTGTAGACTGAACACTGTAGACTGAGGACTGTAGACTGAACACTGTAGACTGAGGACTGTAGACTGAACACTGTAGACTGAGGACTGTAGACTGAACACTGTAGACTGAGGACTGTAGACTGAACACTGTAGACTGAGGACTGTAGACTGAAGATTGTAGACTGCAGACCTCAGCTGTGTCTTCTGGTTGTTGTTGTTGTTGTAATGATGGAGGAGCAGAGTGGGTGAGGTCTAGGTTAGGGAGACTCACCAGTGGGGGTGGACACACACACAGATCACAGACCATATGGTTTCAACTCTCAGCTCTCACTTGATTCTCAAACAAAGTGTTTCTTTAAATGACTTTAAGGCGTGCAGGCCTGGAACACACACACACACACACCATCACACACACACACACACACACACACTCTACTGGTGTGTGATTTTTTTGGTAGGTTCTGCTGTAGGACATTTAGCTTCATCAGTCACTATGACAAGCAAATATGTCGGTGGGGGGGGGGGGGGGGGGGGGGTTTTTTTTTTTATGTCTTTAAATCAAAGTCGTAGCTCAGACGTCTGTTAATCTTTTTTTTTCTTTGTCAGAAACTCTTTGTTCTGTAACTCGTCATTATTGTTAATAATTTTCCCATGATCCCACACTGCAGTCTGTTGATGACCATGAATGAGAAGGTTACCACGGTGTGACCAGTGACCAGTGACCAGTGTTGGTTTCTCTCTGGTAGGCCTTCTCCCTGGTGGACAAACACCCTCAGTACAGGAACCAGGTCTTCGTTCCTTACGCTCAGTGGTTGGCTGAGAACGACCGCTTCGAGGAGGCACAGAAAG